GAGAGAGAGAGAGAGAGAGAGAGAGAGAGAGAGAGAGAGAGAGAGAGAGAGAGAGAGAGAGAGAGAGAGAGAGAGAAGCATTGTTTGTTTATGATTGTAATTGCAATGAATTGATTATGATGTGACAGCAGGAATCGTAGGTTTGGATCGTCAGATGGAAGGAGAAAGGAAAAAGGGAGCGTATTGCAGACTTGTGGAGGGGAACATGGAGGAGGCGGCGATCGGTTGGCGATGGTCGCGCGATATGCGATGGGTTGCCTTCTATGCCTTGTGGTGGTGATGAGCGATCTCGATATCGCGTCAAAGGCGCGTATGACTGCAATTGCTCAGGCTTCGCCGCGAACTGGCACGCGGGTGTGCATTCGAGGAGAAGTGGAATGCAAGTCCGGGAGACGAAGGTGCATCCCGGAGTTCAGTTTTTGCGATGGAAAGAAAGACTGTGAGTATGCATCACTTTCTTGAACTTCCCCTCCCCCCCCTCCCCCCCCCTCTCCCCCCGGCGGATCCCCAACCCTCCATGGTTCTCTTTCATTTCGTCGTCGTCCTCGCTAACTATCTGTACCCTGCATCTCGTCTGGAGGCATCTTTTTTGTTTTTTTGGGTTGCTTTGGTTAGCTTTTTGAACCTCGTATTTTCACCCCGTTGATGTGCGTGTCTTTGCAAGGAAAAGGGCGTGCTTTGGGCCTCGCTCTACTACTCCCGATTTACACGAAAGACAAAAATCATGGCGGTGTATTTTTCCATGTTATAGCGGAAGATTCACTCTCGTTTTGCACATGTCGACAGTAGAGGAGCGAGAGGCACTTTCGTTTCTTTTCTGTCTATGCGTTTGCGTGTTTGCGTGTTGGCGTGTTGGCCTGTTTGCGTGTTTGCGTGTTGGCGTGTTTGCGTGTTTGCGTGTCTGCGTGTTTGCGTATGTGTGTTGCGCGCTCGCTTGTTGCTTTTTCAAAGGAGGCGGTGCATCTTTCCATGTTCTAGCGGAAGGTGCATCCTCATTTTGCACATTTATTTGGTGAGTATTGGAGCCAGGTCCTATGGCTGTAGCTTATTGAGCACGGCGCAAATTTAGTTGGACTTGGAGAGAATCGATACAGTAACTCTGGAGAGTCACTGTGGTGCACAGACAGAAAAGAAAGAAAGTGCCTCCGCTCCATTACAGCGCAATAGCGGAAGACTCTGGAGACGTCCGTGCGACGAGCTGGCAGGCCCATTGTCTGACAAGTACTGCAGCACCTACCTTCTTCTCCCGAATACAACGTACGGTCATTATACTATAGCTGTATTTGGGGGCATGTTCCAGTCTGAATACAGCATGTAAAAGATGGTTTTCCGTTTTTATTTTCAGGTTATAATAACTCGTTTTCTATGAATTAAAGAAAACAAAATCCTTCTCCGGATTCTCCCTTCACCCAATGGGCTGGGAGCCAGCCAGTTGGTCTTTTTTTTTTTTTTTTTTTTTTTGAGCCAGCCAGTTGGTCGCCTTTTTTTCAGGATGGGTTCTTCCGTCAGCCAATGGGCTGCATCCTCCGATGGATTTCCCTCCCTCTGTTTGACACAACATTCGCCAAATCGTGACTTAGACGTTCACGACTTTCCTTGGTTTGACACAACATTTGCGAAATCGTGACTGAGGGCATACTCACACTAGCACGCGTTTTCATATAATAGTAAATTATAGGTGATTTTTTGGGTCAAACGGGCTAGGTATTTTGCGTTTTCACGCAAATGGGCAAGTATATGTCAGCGGCTTGGACAGCTGCGGGGTTACGTAGTTTGTGGGAACCTCTGGAGGTCCCCACAATTGGGTATTTCTTTTTGACCTCTTTCTTTCTGGAAACAAAAAAAGAAAGAATTCGACGTTTGCTGGGCAGCTCTCGTGAGAAATGAAAAAAGAAAAACCAGAAAAAAGTGATGGATTTTTATGCATCGTGCTGTGTGACCCCTTGGCCCCTAAAATCGCATTCCTAGAGCAGGTAGAGACTCTGTACTTTCTGTTTTGTGACTTACACGGGTGTGCTGTGTGACTGGGAAGTGCGGTATAATCACAAATTGGCTCACATATAAATTGCCATTGTACGTGCTAGTGTGAGTGTACCCTGAAACGCGTTTTCCAAACTGAAACTTTCACGATTTTCCTTGGTTTGACACAACAACATCGGATTCCGCGAAATCGTGACTGAAATGCATTTTCAAACTGAAACCCTGACAGCACCCTAGTTTTCCCATGATTTTATTTTGGTCATATGATTGTGCAAGGAAAATGAGCCATAGCCAATTCCAGAAACCAAGCAGCATTATACACTTGAACCCAGAATTGCAACTGGTGTCCCACCAGATAAGAGCACAGCAAAAGCTCACAAGTGACAATGTTGGAATCGTCTCATCATCATCAACATCAACAAAGAACCAATGTCGGCTTCCTATCTGGTGCTCTGCAACCAGACTACAAATGGCAGATCCTATCTAGCCTATCTACAATGCCGCTGGTGACGTCAACAGCTCCCCGAAGTACGAGCAGATCTCGGCCCTTGGCCAATGCCATTCGCCTCAAGCACCAGGTATGTCTCTCGCATCACTCACAACCTCGACCCCCCACACAGATGCCACCTGCACCCAAGGACCACCATGCGCCCCATCCAGCACCTCGCAGGCCAGCTTGGCTATGGCTGCCTGCGTATCCCTTGATCGCCCGTGAGCGCGTGGGCGCTTGCCTGCCAGTAGCGCAGCAGCGCGTGCGCAGCATGTAGCAAGTGCCCGAATGCCAAATGCGGGGGCAGGCACTTTCGTATATGGAAGTGGCCTGCCTGCTGCGTGCGGCCTGGCTGCGCTGGGCCCCTGCCCAGAAGCTTCTGGTAGGCCCCAAGTGGCTGAGCCCGGATCCAGGGAATCAGGCCCAGGGCCTAGATGAGTTACCCGTGTTCAACTGCCCGCAGCCTGTGTTCGGCCCATGTTGCGTATCTGGCCCAGGGCCTGCGACAGTTACATTTGAAAGAGGCAGCCAGGGCGTGGGCGCTCTCAACCAACTGGCGCTGCGCAACTGCCTGAATTTCCCCAGTTGTGTGGTAGCTGAAAATAGGCCTCTTGTCCTTGATCAGGCCTGCCTTCACTTAGGGCGGCCAACATTGTTGAAAACAGGGCCCAGTAGGGCTCGTCGAGGCCTTGTGCCTCGCATTCCCTCCTCCATACTTCGAGAGTCCTGTGAGAAGTTCCATCATTCAATCTGGCGCTTTTCTTTCTGCAAAGACTTCTCATACTGGGTGACAACCTGCGGGGCAGTCTGCATCAGTTCCTCCCTTCTAAACCAGGTCCTCCTTTGCATCAGTGTGATGTCTGAACTGAACGTGGTAAAGCAGTTTCCGTTTCGGAGGATGTCCCCTTCCTGTTGGTCTTGGAACTGGCAGTTCTCTGTGATCCACGATGTTGTCAGTGTCGACCTCTCCATCCATGGTTGGGGGCAGCATTGAGCGACGAGATGGAAACTGATCAGTTTCTCTGAAAGGTGCGAGCTTGGAGGCGTGAAAGACAGGGCAAGTGCGAAGGTGACCAGGGATCTGTATTACATATGACGGCCCGCCCGGATCATCCCCAACGGCATCTAGAGCCTCCCAGGGTCCAAAGTACTGTGGCATGAGCTTGCGGGAAATATCGTGCTCCTGCCCCAGTTCAGAGGACTTAACCCAAACTCTATCTCCCACCTGAAATGTCAAGGGGCAGCAGTGTTTGTTCTCAGATTCTATCATTACTGCCTGTGCTTTGTGCATCTGTTTAACCGCTTGCTGCATCAATTGCTCATATCGGTAGGCGAATTCTAATGTGCCAGGTGCAGCAGTCGGCTGGTTCTTACGTAGTAGAAAGTATAGGGGCAATCTAGGCTTGAAGGTCAGTAGCAGGTTGTTAGGGCTCACCCCGGTTGCGCTGTGCACAACGTTGTTGTACAAGCTGGCAATGAGAGCAAGTTTCTCATCTCAGTCCAGCTGAATGGGCTTGATGTAATGCCTCACCAGGTGTTGTACAGCGCGGTTCAGCTGCTCTGCTTGCCCATTTGCCTCTGGGTGGTTCCCCGGGGTCATCTGCAGCTGTGTCCCCTGTTCTGCAGCCGTGGCCTTCCATAGTTCACCGGTGAATCGCACATCCCGGGCACTCACTATAGACTTTGGCTGTCCAAAGTCCTTGACCCAACTTTCTTTGACCAACTTAATCACATACTCGGTCTTGGATGTTGCAGGCATTGCGACTAACCTAGCATACTTGCTAAATCTATCCACAATGACATAGACATATCGCATTCCACTCTTGTTGGCGACCAACGTGTCCATGAAGGGGCTTGAGAAGCCCAAGAGGGGTCTGTGTATGTGGCTTGTCTCTTTGACATACTTGACAAGTCTCCGCATACAGCTTGGTGTCTCTCATCATTGTGGTCCACCAGAACTGCTGCAGCAAGTTGGCCGCAGTCTTTTGTAACCAAAATGTCATGTGGTGTCATGACACTGTCCTAAAAATAAACTATGCAAAGACTCCCGATTAGGCACACACAAACGTTTATTCCCAACCTTCTCAAGGAACAACAGACCGTTGACCAACTCAAACTTGGCAGAGTTCACTTTGTCCTTTGCCTCCAGTCTGCGTATGATCTCTGCCATAAACAGGTCCTCGCGATAGGCTTCCACCAAAGATCGAGTAACATTGTTCCCAAGCCCAAACTTAGTAATCAGCGCACCCAGAAAATCTGGTATATACGACAACGCATCAGCAACTTTGTTGTACTCTTCTCATCCACTTTAGGGTCTGATGATCAGTCTTGACGTAGAAGAACCTCCCGAGGAGGTAGTGCCTCCAGTGGGTTAGCGCTTTATAGATCGCATAAAGTTCCTTTTCATAGGTGGATTTAGCCAACTTCTGAGAGGGCATCTTTTTGGACATGTACTTGACTGGCCTCAACTTTGGCCTCTCCTGCTGCGCAAGCATGACGCCTATGCCATATTGGTTGGCATCCGTGGTTACTAAAAACGGCTTGTCAGGATCAAGAAGTGTCAAGACCTCATGGTGTGTAAGAGCATGCTTCAGATGTCTGAAAGCAGCCTCACACCTATTTGTTCACTCCCACGGGGTAGCAAGGCGAGTCAGATCCGTCAAAGGTGCGGCCACTATCCTATAATTCTTTACAAAATTGCGGTAGTAGTCGATCATCCCTAAGAAGGACCTCATCTCAGTCACAAACTGAGGACGCGGCCAGTCACGAATGCTGGCCACATTTGCGTCATTGGGCTTCAATCCCTCTGCGGAAATCTCATGACCCAGATACAAGATCCGGGTGCGGCCAAACTCGCATTTTGCCCCGTTGATCTTGAACTGGTGTTGCCGTAGGAGGCTAAGAACTTTGTCTAAGTGGCCAGCAATGCCCATCATGCTCCTCGACAGTCCTACTAAAGATAAGTATGTCATCGAGGTAGACGATGACAAAATTGTCCAAGTAGTTATGAAAGATACGGTTCATGGCATGTTGATGCCCCCCAGAATAGATGGGGCTGTGTGTGTGTTTTGGTAAAAAAAAAAAAAAAAAAAAAAAAAAAAAAGGTGCCAGGAGCATTGCAAAGGCTGAAAGGCATCACCACAAACTCGTATAGACCGTACCTGGTCTGAAAAGCAGTTTTGTGTTGATCCTCGGTCGTATTGCAATCTGATGGTACCCAGACTTCAGATCTATCTTACTGAAGTAGCGACACCCTTGCACTCGGTCCAACAAGTCATCGATGCGCAGTAGGGGCTCTGCGTTTTTCATAGTGATGGCATTGAGGCCCCTATAGTCAATGCACATCCTCAAGGTTCCCCCCTTCTTCGGTACGAATAGGACAGGAGATCCGTAAGGGGAAACACTAGGCCGGATCCAACCCTTCTCTATGAGTTCCTTGAGTTGTCGACGAAGCTCATCGAGTTCAGTTGGAGATATCCGATAGATCCTACCCTTCAGAATACTAGACCCTGGGATAATCTCTATCGCGTGAACGACCGTCGACCTCCCTCTCAACAACCCCTTTCGGCTCTTCAGATAGGTCAGGGTATTTAGCGACCATTCCCACTCTCTCTGGAGGCATTTTCACCAACTCGCCCTCTGCAGAGACATAAACTAAGTACATACCCTCCTCCGGATTTTGCTTATAGTAATTATAGAATGCGGCCACACACATGCATATGTAGGACTCGATCAGACCACAAGCTTTAAACTTACGTAATATGGCGGTCCCCCCTCCGGGCAACGTGTGTTTGACCACTTTTCGATCCCAGTCAAACTGGGGTTGTGCAACCGAAAGATAGTACATACCCAACAGGGTATCTATTGGGAGATCATCGCTGACTAGGAATGAGACTCGATGTCTGAGTTCCCCTCCCACGTATGGGAATCGACACTCAATGTCTTTAAGGTAGTCATGGACTACCATGCGCTGTTTGTTGGCACAAGTAGACTCCACAGGTCGACTCAGGCGCTGCAGCCTCTCAACGCATGCACGACTAATAAAATTTTGTGTCGAACAAGTGTCATAAAAGGCATCGGCCTTGCGACCGCCTATAACTATCTCGCCGACGAACAACTCACCCTTAGGGGCTTTGGCCATGGCCATCCAAGAAGCTAGCAGGTCCGATCTAGACCACTCCTTTTCTAGCTCGTGTAAGGACTCAAATGCATCCATCGAACAGAGGGGCGATTGGTCTGAATGTGTTTGCGGGACAACAACGGAGTCAGTAGTTTGGAACATCTCTAGAGATGGTGAGGGTGTGTCCACCACCTCGACCCTAGCAAGAACATCTACCATTCCTACTGGCCCGACGTGTTTCATGAAGCGTTGTTAGAACTGCTGGCAACATTGTTGCCCTGGGAAGTGGAGAATGTCGGTGTCTGCCCCATTGTAGGCGGGATCTTTTCCGTCACCTTCTTATTCCGACATTTGAACTGTTTATGGCCATATTGGCCACAACGGATACAAGCCTGCTGGGAGTAACGGTCTCTCCACACATCCTTAGTGAGACCCGCTTTCTCTCATAGAGGAGCGTTGGGGTCTACTTGACTCATAGACCAAGAGCCTTCGCGGCGTCTACCGGTCACCTTACCTTTCTGGACTGAGGCATCGGCTGCTCCACCCCCTGAAGCCTCTGCGCTGCCCGCCTCTGAACCTACTCCCTCCTAGAAGTCATTATCTAACTCGATGGTGGAACCATCGTTATTGACGAACATAATGCGGCCCTTCGTGCAGTTGGGAGGCAGTGCCTTCTTCCTACCATCCGTTGTGGATTGGTGCCCATGCCCTATCTTTGCCTCTAGGTACAAGGCCTTGCTGAACGAGGGGAAGTTGTATACTGTGATATTTGTCTCACCTGCTAGCTGATTCCTGAGTGCTATGGGAAGACACCTCAGGTAAGTGCTAAGTAAGACCTGGGGATCGTACCGCATTCCTGGAACACAGATGAGACGCTCAACTGCATCTGTGGCATCCTCAATGACCTGAACTTTCTGGAGCTCAGGGTCAGGATCGCGGCAATGACCTCTTGAGCCTCCTTCGGATCATGCCACCTTTCTTCCACCAACTTGAGGAAGTCATCCAATCTCTGGTTAACTGCCCAAGCACGAAAATCATGACCGTATCCCTGTAGTTGTACTAACCCGCTTAACCATCTTGTTGCACTCCCCTCCAAGTAGGAGGCAGCCACAAACGCTTCATCGTGCAGCAAGATTAACTTGCACTTTACGTAGACTGGCACTGACCTCAACCATGTGTCAAGGTCTTCACCCCTCTTATCACCTGAGAAGGGTTTAGGCGAGGCGATGACAGTCTTCGGAACCCACTAACCTTGTCCCAGTACCTGCACCACTCCAGGCTGTGAACCCTGGGGTGCAGGCTGTTGCACTAGCTGCTGTTGGGGTTGTGTGCCCTGCGCCTGTGCCGACTGCGAGACAGCAGGCTGCCCAGTTACGGCAGACTGGAACGGAGGTTGAGAAAACATTGTCTGGACCGGAACCTGTACACTAGTATCTGCTGGAAACTCGTATGTCAAAGGTATGCCAAGTAGGGAAGCGACTTGTACCGATGCTGGAGAGGCTACAAATGGGGATACTCCAGTCACCGGTGGAACAAAAGGAAGAGGCTGTACCACCGGCCAGGCACCGGGCCCTGATGGTGATGGTGTCGCCTGAACTTGCCCGACCAACACAGCCAAGCTTCGCTGAATGTTCTCCGAAAGAGATGTGTGGTCGTCTTGCATCTCCACTCAATCTAGCAGGGATGTTCTCACAACCTTCACATCGGCATCCATATTAATCAGGTCCATCCCCTCTAACTCTCTAATGTCCACCTGTCTCCGCTGCATCCTAGTCCTTCTTCTGATCATTCTATCCTTCTTTGCTTATATCTCATCTAAAGCCTTCTGTAATTGTGCCTCTTGAGCACTTGCTCTCTCTATGGCGACCTCCTCGGGAGTCAACATTAACTGCTGGCTTGCCATGACACCAGCGGACTGACTCAGGGTCTGTGCAATCGTCACCCCTGTAGTCCCTGAACTACTGGCCTGGAATCTTTGTTGAGCAGTTGTGGCCATGGCTGCTGAAGTAGCAGCTTCGCTTGCGAACGCCCTGCTTGCCTCCACGGCCCTAGCTCTCTGCTGGTGCTGCTCTCTCTCCCTAAGCTGGCGAAACAGAATTATGTCAACCTAAGGGCTCGAGTCCTAATGCCACGTGGGCCAACGGGCGTCTTGCCAATCGCAAGATCCTATCGTCCGGGTCAGGATCCTCCCTGTCGCTCATATGCTAGAGTACTGAGCACTGTCTGCACTAGGGTACACTCTTTTGCCTACCGCAACGTAGTATTCAGACCGATTTAAATAATAAAAATAAGTAGATCGGTGACACTGCCAGGTAATACACAGTTGGGGCCAACAGGTAAGTCCAGATTCCTACCAATAAAGCTATTATACTTGACTAGTCCGCCAACAGAAAGCAAATGAGCAAAAATTGTTCTACCTATGTTGTCTGTTAGATGTTAATGGTTGTACATCTAACCAATCAAAATAAAAATAACATCATTGGATAGGTTGTTGGCAGAGTGGAATTGTTCCCGAACTTATCACCTGAAATCTACCCCTCCCTCAATTCTTCTTGAGTGTCACTCGACGCCGACGTCCCTAAGCAATCTAGATAGTGTGCGTGTCTAAAGGTGTGCACACGTCCCACCCATGTGCCCCGAGTCTATGCTGAGTTGGCCAGCCCTGCACGATGTTTACCCTCTCGTGCAACGAGCCTTACACTGACCGATTGGCTGATCAAGAGGTGTTTAAGGACGGCCCTCGAAGTCCTCACGAATTATTTAACGTCGCAGACAAGACGACGATCACAACCAATGGAAGGTATTCCCGATGGTACTTATTTATAGACGTCTGATACTCGTCTTTCCTATAGGGCTGGCCTGCCCCTCATAACCCGTCTACAGCGCAGCAGGCAGACAAAGGACAAAGCAGCAAAGCATGTGTGCTCTACTCTCGGTGGGTTGGCATGGTGACTGTGAACCAGTGCTTCGTCCAGGGTCCTTCAGATAGCTCCGCCTTCTCCTTCCAAATGCTCCACGTGAACAATGCCGACTCTCAAGGTTGAGCGCACTCGACTCCTCACATGAGAGGACTCTCAAGACAGAACACACATCCTCACAGTAAGAAGTGTCGAAGAGGGTAGATAAGGTTAAGAGCAACATACCTCAAAATAGCTGCCCCCAACCACATATATTCCCACCAGATAACCTGATGTTGATTGTGATGGCCAATTGCTGCTTCGACACAACCAGCATTACGCCACCGGTCCACCTTAGCATCAAAAGCACATCAGATAGTTTTCATCACACTGCGAAACACCCAAACACCACTTCGTAGCCTTTCTGGCGATACCCTTCCACCTGGGTCGCCTGCTTGCCTTCGCCCGCCTCACTACACACTCCCTACGGCCGCTCACCCAGCAGACTGCATGCATGTACCGCATAGGCAGAAGACAAGTGCCAGATTACCACAACGTACCACAGCTCCGATACCAAAACGCAAGGAAAATTAGCGATAGCGAATTCCAAAAACCAAGCAGCATTATACACATGAAACCAGATAGTCGTGACCTCGAACCAAAAGCAGAATTGCAACTCGAGTTCCACCAAATAAGAGCACAGCAAAAGCTCATAAGTGACAATGTTGGAATCGTCTCATCATCATCAACAAAGAACCAATGTCGACTTCCTATCTGGCGCTCTGCGCCCAGACTACAAATGGCAGATCCTATCTAGCCTATCTACAATGCCGCTGGTGACGTCAACAGCTCCCCGAAGTACGAGCAGATCTCGGCCAATGCCATTCGCCTCAATCACCAGGTATGTCCCTCGCATCACTCACAACCTTGATCCCCCACACAGATGCCACATGCATCCAAGGACCACCATGCGCCCCATCCAGCACCTCGCAGGCCAGCTCGGCTATGGCTGCCTGCATATCCCTTGCTCGCTCATGAGCGCGTGGGCGCTTGCCTGCCAGTAGCGCAGCAGCACTTGCGCAGCATGTAGCAAGTGCCCGAATGCCAAATGCGGGGGCAGGCACTTTCCTATATGGAAGTGGCCTGCCTGCTGTGTGCGGCCTGGCTGCGCTGGGCCCCTGCCCAGAAGCTTCTGGTAGGCTCCAAGTGGCTGAACCCCGATCAAGGGAATCAGGCCCAGGGCCTAGATGAGTTACCCGTGTTCAACTGCCCGCAGCCTGTGTTCGGCCCATCTTGCGTATCTCGCCCAGGGCCTGGCTCAGTTGCATTTGAAAGAGGCAGCCAGGGCCTGGGCGCTCTCAACCAATTGGCGCGATGCCTGAATTTCCCTAGTTGCGTGGTAGCCGAAAATAGGCCTCTTGTCCTTGGTCGGGCCTGCCTTCACTTAGGGCGGCCGACATTGTTGAAAACAGGGACCAGTAGGGCTTGTCGAGGCCTTGTGCCTCGCAATTGCATCAGGACTAGAACTCGCGTCTGCATTTTGGACCAGGTACTGCCAGTTGAAAACTGGGCGTCCAAAAACCCAATTTTTGGAGAAAGTAGTCAGATGCACTGAAATATGCCTGGGGCGTGGTCCCACTAGCACAGAGGATCGGATCTCATGCCTGAATCTGGATTTGTTTGTTGAGAGGTGCAGGAAATTGAGATTGAACTGCTTTTCTGCATCTGTGTGTAAAACACATCCAGATTCAGCCGCCCTGTCCGCATCAGAGGTCCTCAGTGACGCGACAGGGGAGTCGGGTTTATTCTGCTTGTCACGCTCCCACTCACTGTCCAACAGACACCCTCACTCTCTCTCCTTCTCTCTTTTTCTCTTCTCTCTTTTGTCCCTCTCTTCCTGCGCAGCCTCTCTCTCACTCTGCGCAGTCTCTCCCTCTCTGTCCGCGCAGCCTCTCTCTCTCTCACTCTGCACAGTCTCTCTCTCTCACTCTGTGCAGTCTCTCTCTCTCYCTCACTCTRCACAGTCTCTCTCTCTCTCACTCTGCAAAGTCTCTCTCTCTCACCCTCACTCTCTCTCTCACTCACTTACACACACACATGCTCCTCATCACACGTCGGAGGGCTACGATATGACCCAGATGCACTCAAGGCAATTAGGTAAATAAACAATCCAATTAGGCCAGATGCAGTAGTAACGAGAGATTAATTTGCTGTTCTCATGGGATTTTCGCCACATAGAATTGGGCATCAGGCCTTCCAAATCTGATCCTGAACTCCTTCGTGTTTCATTTGCGCAATGCTGCCCTGGAGGTACCTTCTTTCTAAATTATCTTCCCCTCCCCTATAGTTTCAAGTGTCTGATCTATTGTGACCAGCCAGTACTGAATGAATTGGGCTCATTGTGGGGTCCAGATTCATTCCTAATTTCCGACAACTGCTGTGTGTGCCTTTGTGTTTACGTTCTCCACGCGAATCTAGCCCGCAATACTGGTCTCGTTCATATGCAGATCTGCTTAACCTGTAGTAATGGGCTGATCCCTGTGCAGATCTGTTTAACCCAAAGTAATGGGCTGATTCATGTGCAGATCTGCTTTCTCCTCTTACCTTGAGAACAAGCGAATCYGCGTTGGTATAGTGACCAGGCCCGTAGGCTGTTTCAAAGCATCATGCCCGTGGGTGATTTCCCAAAGCTCGTTTTCACCACCTGCTCGGACTGCTGCCTCTGTCACAATCTCGTGTACATGCATTCCCTACTTGCATCTCTTTTCCCTGTGTTGTTTTAGATCAGCCTCTCTGTGTGCTGTGTCTTCATCCTTTGTCCTCCCTTGGTCGGTCTCCCAACCAGATATTTCTCTTCTCGGTTGTCAAGCAGTTGACCTGACTTTTTTCCACTCCACGTGTCATGTGCTCAGAGGTACGTCTTGAGCTGGTGTGAGATCGCTGATCATGGCCTTTTGTTCATCTATTTATTTATTTTTCCCATCTGTACACATTGCTCCACCGTATGCCCTGCCCCGTGTGTTGTCTCATGCGCCCTGATGACTCAGTCCGAGCGCCCTCGATTAGCCACTGGGTGCTTTGATTGGGTAGAGGAGGAAATCCCCCTTTGTGCACTGATTGAGTTTCCCG